TTGTTTGTTGTTTTTTAATCTAGATTTTACCGAAAAATTCCATTGTTAACGTTGCATGAAGACAAAAGAAACAACCACTCGAATCCCGTTGCAATATAGCGAAACGTTCAACTACCGGGTGAGATATCTTAGTCACTACATAGCCTCCAAAAGGTCAACACCGACGTGATGATGCTAGACATGCTTCCGATGGAGATGAGTTCGCTGTAATAATTCTGGTTATAATTCCTCCACATACAGAACAAGCACACTTCAGACGTCGAGTTGTAAAGATACCTGCAGTGGGAAAAGAAAAGATAATTTGAGATGTTTTGATTAATGATCCTGCTGGAGTTGTTGCATCCGAATAAGATATAGTTATGATACTGAAATTTGATAAATACTGTTGACTGTTCCCTTCTTGTTCTTAATACCAATTTGAAGGAATGATGTTTTCCTAGATTTATTTGAATATAAGAGACATTATTTAGTTAGAGTAATATGTTTTATTTGCAAAGTATACTATTATTATTCTAACAAAAATTGGATTTCTTTCAATCCTGAAGCTTGCCTCGGGCCGACACAGGGTTACTTCATTACCGTCATAAAACCATTTCCCTAAATTCCAAGGGATACCAAATATCGAATTCGACCTTTTCGAAAAATGGAAAAGGCAATTTCCACATATCCATTTCTAAACAAAATACGGTTTAAGTAAACACATATAAAATGAAAATTTGTCATATATATTTTAATAGAATTGTATAATATATAACCTTTTTATCAAGATTAGAAACAAAACAAAATCGTTACTAAAATAATATGAACGATTATTTGATTTTTTCCAAATCCTCCGGTTTATATTATCACAATTCTAAAGGCAAGAAAATCAGAAAAGTAAATGTCATATATCCCTTCCTTCTGTATTATGTTCAGAAATAGATTCTTGAGATATTGTGAAGTCATTCATGAGTCATTCCTAGATCCTGATCAATTATACATATCAGTTCGTTGTCAGATTACTGCTGAATTGGTGGATTCATTTCTAAATGGAAACGTAGAAACCAAAAATATGTTTTCTACAAGTCAGCAAGAAACTGAACAATTACGCTAATTTACTGCTAATTAACTTTTGAGCTCAGCTAATTACCACGGTTCTGTTATAATCATGCGACAGTGAGAAATTAGTCGTGCAGTCTTGCTGACATTAGGGCACTGTCTGATTTGTCCGTGAGTTATTTCTATGCAGACTTTACATAATGCTAAATGTATATTGTATTTTTTTAAACTCAATGCTATTTTAAACACTCATTGCGGCACCATATTCAGAGACGCATCAGATAGAATGTAAACCTTAATACGTACAAAAAATAATAGGAAATGGTATGCATTCATGGTAGCATGGTATTAATGCTCCGTTGATTCGAATATCATGAAAATTTTTCGAATAAAAGTTTACATTTCCTCTATTGAACACAACAAGATCGGTACGAGCCTCATAAAAGATACCTGGTAACCTACTGTTTTAAATTTTAGCGCATGGAGCAAACCTCTCATTTTAACACCTGTAGACACGCTGACTTCCATCTGGACCTTTTAAGGCTATTCTGCTCTTATCTGAGAACAGTACGTTCTTCCATTCCTCTACAGTCCAGTCAACATATTCTCGCGCAAAATGAAGTCTATCTCTACAGTTTGTTACGCAGAGTGTGCGAGCGATGCAACGCTAGCTATACCCCGCATCAGCTAAAGCTAGTGCCCTAGCTACATCAGTTGCATCGAGTGGAATTTTTTACAATCACAAAATAATGAGCAAACACTATAATTTCAAATTAAACAATATTCGCCCACTATGATGGAAAATAACAGGAAATGTTAACTCGGTAACACAACAGCAACTTTGTAAAACAACGACTAAATTGTTAAAGTCAAAGAAGCAAAAGACGTGGGTAAGGACCTGTCCTATATCGCTCATTTTTATAATTAATGATGTATAATATATATGAACTAATGCCAATACGCCGTGCTCATATTACACACAGTGCTCATATTAACTTTTTTTTTCGAAGCACGATGGAGCTCTGTATAACAAATTTTTGGTCACCCATCCTCTAACCGACCTTTAAGAAAATTGCTTAACTTCCGTATCGCAGACCGAACAACCTAACCGCTGCATCATCAATAGATCTCCTTTCTTGTTGTTGTTTTCCCACATATGACATAATACTTAAATTATTTCATTTCGGATTTACAATATTTTAGTTTTCAAAATAACCTTGATCAGAAAGTCGAACCATCTTAAATGGTTTATTATATTGAATATATTACACAGTTAAATTTAAATTACATATTAGGGATGATGGCTGGGTAAAAAAAATTGTCCGTCTGTCAGATATTAAAAATATATTAGATACGTGTTTTTTTGTTTCTAATTAACAAGAAATGATTTAAATAATAAGCATTAAAGTAGAAGAGTGCGGGCTTGTCACAACTATGTAGAAAATGTACAAAGGTCAAAAACCATGCTACATTTCAACTCAATGTATAGCCTTAATTTATTGACTTCGTAAAAAATAAAAAGGAACTTGTAATTTTCAACCTTATTCATCCTATTTATAAATAAATTATTTCTTTTTATCCTTAAAAAATTAGTCCCACCTCCATCTATTGGCACTGAATAACATCTCCGCTGTAACGTTAAGTCAATGAGCAACTGAATCTATAAATTAATTTATGTTGACTATAATGATTTTGGTTAGTTTAATCACTCATTATCGATTAGTAAGTATAAAAAAGTTAAACTTTATTTTGAGATTATATATAGGTAAATAGATTCAGATAAAAAAAATGTTTAGTTACTTGGGCACCATGCCAAGCTATATTTTAGCGCTGTAAATAAAAAAAAAATCAAACAATTTCACGGGTAGAAATAGATATTTATTACAACAAAAATGAAGACTTTACACAACCTATGAATAACATTATAATAAATGTACACATGCGATCTATTTATAGAAATACAGTTTGTACAATTTCATTGTGTTCAAAGATTAGAGCTAAATTTTGCAACATATAAACTATTATATTTTGTACAATAGATAATAGTTTAAATTTACTTAGAAATATGAAGAAGTTTTGACGTACACGCGAGGAAGTAGGTGTCACCTATAAATCAACTCTTCGTAGTGGCACTTTAAAACTTCTTTGTCATTTATCGTCTCCTGGTACTTTATGAACTATTTTGTTGGTTATATAATCATAGATATATAATGTAATTTATAATAAACAAAAATGTTGCAAATGCTACAATATATATTCATTAAACATTTTTTCATTATTAAAATGTAAATAAAGAGAGGAAGTAAAAGGAGATTACATTATTTTGAAATAAGAAAGTAAAGCCGTGTCTGCTTTAAAACAAAAAAAAAGATATCTCAAGCTCTTTCATTTTCATTCGAAGAGTTTAATTAAAAAAAAGGTTTGATTTAAAAAGTAAGCTCAAACCTTATAGAAATGTACAATAAAAAAAAAACAATTTGGCGGAGGTTTATTTGTGTTGTTGGGGTTAGGCAAACTTTTGCGATGCTCATTTATTATTTTTATGCGGTGACTTGCCACGGCGAGGTACAATGACAGAAACAGGAAACCCAGAAACTTTCTTTCAAGCTCCTTGGATATTTTACAAATTTATTACACACTAGAATTTTTGAAATTTTATACATACAATAACGTAACTAAATTTTTCAACAATAAATATCTATTTTAAAACTTTACTCTGATCATTTTCTTAACATTGTTGATATGTTTATCAGACATGGAGTTTAATATGATATCGTGATTAATTTTAAATATTAACTGTGGTAGTATTCGATCATTACCTTAGGTGTTGCATATTTACTGAATATATTTTTCTGCTGTATAAATACATTTTCAATGAAGACTTCATTTAGTTTTCAATTCTGTATTAAATTTAAATTGTACAATCACTTTCCCTCAGACATATAACAGCATTTACATTTTATTTTTAGAAAAAAAATATCCCTTAACTGATTTGGAAATTTTTACTCTCTGCACAAATTAGTAAGTTTAAATTATTTCAATTTGTTGAAATATTATGTTTTTTTGGGTAGATATAAAAATCACTTATTTAAAATTCAATATCTGCTTTTTATGGCATACGAAATAGCAATTTCATAGGTAAAGATCAAATAATGTAAGATATTTCGCAATTGTAAATTTAATTAAGGTTTCGTTAAACAGAAGACGAGATGGAAAGTTCGTTGCATTTTCTATATAACCACAGAATAATTTAGTAGCATGTCAGTTCTCGCACTCAATTTTGACTTTAAATATCAACTAATTAAGGATCAAAATCTATTTTACAAATTGATGACGTTAAATATACTTACATTACAACTCACAACGTCGTCCAACATACAAAGGTCACTACGCCTACGCATACTCATGCTCGTTGTTTGACGAAACCTTAAGAGTACGAATAAGGAAAACCAATTATATCAAAATGATTCTGGGTATAAAAAATAATGTAACTTTATTTATAAATGATTTTTTTATAAAATATGTTGTATTTTCAGTAAACACATCAATCATATTTTATAATGAAGACAGCAGATTAAAACGTGAATTTATATTTTTAGACCCCCTTCTTTTGATTTTAATAATTTCTTTACGTCAAATTAATTACTATTTAAGCAAACATGTTATTGAAGACAGAAGCATATTCGTTTATTAGAAAATGACAACGTTTTTCCAATAAATATGGAAATTAACTTTTAATATTTCCAATTGATTGGTGAAATATGATTTTTTGTTGAATAATAACCGCAATATACGTAAAATGTTTATCTAAATATAAATAATCTGTCTATTATGTATTGTTGACTGGTCTCGATGTTTCATGTCTCAAAAGCATAACACGCACTCTTAATAGTATTTACTATTGCAAAGTACCCCATGTTGAAGTTTTATTAGTATAGTCTTATTTACATTTGTGTAATACTACGAGTTCAACATTTACAGATCACAAGTAAAACAGCGGCTCTCAAATTTACATTAAGCGGTCAGAAATTTACATTGAAATATAATTTCACTTTAACATCTAATATCACAAATACCTTTGTCCAATTACAAAATTATTATAACTTAAGCATTATTTTCATTAGTATAGAGGTGAGAATCGAATTAGCCGCAATTCTGTTTGCCGACGAGAATGCTTTCAACCTAATTTCATTTTGTACCGGATGACCATACGACTCTTCTATTGACTGCATAATTTCCTTCGGACACGGTAAAGTCTCTAGGGGTATATCAATCAATTTTTTCTCAGTGTTCTTGACTTTAGCTTCGTTCTCATATTCTACGTTTTTATCGTAATAATCGTAGCTGTCGTCAGACAATACATTAACCTTGTCGTTCTCAATGTCCTCTTCACTGTTCGAAAGCCTGTCCGGTACAGGATCCAAGATACAGGATACTTTTTCGAGAGCATACTTGAGTGTGTTATCCTTGGTTTCATTACGTAGCGCGTATATCCAAGATAGTCGACAATTACAGTTGAGAGGGTTACCTGGAACAAGAAGGGTGAATTAGGCTTTGTGTGGCGTAACTATAATTTGGCAAGCGAACGCCTTTTGTAAGATGAGTTTTTATGAGCAAAGAAAATGGGCGATTCAATTTTATTCGCTGAAATTATTCTAAGTTATTGACTTTTGGGGTGAACGTGAGATTTTTGGCATAATTAAGTTTGATTACAGGGGTAATGTTACGTGAATAGCTACCCACAGCGCTTGGTTAATTTGATGTATAAATATTTAACGTTAAGTCGTTGAGCGTAACATTTAGGTGAGTGGAAAATGTTAAGTGTCTGTAATTATTGACTTGTAGATTTCTAGCTCGCAATATCAAATTAGAATATTATTAATTTATCGATTAACTTAAGATAACTTTTTAATAAGCTTGATTGCTAAAACATAATTAATGTTTCAGCAATAAAGCTTATAAAATCAATAGACCTGATTAAGACTTCTTTGTTTGACTGATGTTCAAGGTCACAATATTATAGTAATACTATTTGATCATAGTAATCTTTCCTAATTGGTATATGATATAATATGTGTAAAAATGAAATGAAAGAGCTGAAACACTTCTTACAATATTTTTTATGTATTTATTTATCCATTATTTTTTTTATCCTCCTCTGTTATTTATATATTTCAAAATACAGTTATGTAACTATAAGTACTTAGAAATAGAATGCACATGAAATACTTATCCAAGTATTCTATTATTGTTGTATTAACAAACTAACAACCAAACGCTTTCCCTTGAGTTTATTAGAATATTATTGTTTTTATTTAAATGGAGCACTCGTATGTTTCTCTGATAAATAATAAAATTGTAATTTGTTGGATAGCCGTAATTGGCCTTAAGATTGTAATTAAAATTGTAATATTAGTTTGTACTGAGCTGTGTACTATCCCTTCAAATAAATAAATAAATAAATAAATTACTCTATGTTTTTATTTTCTAATCCCAATAGTAATATTTAAATGAATTTAACTGTGGGATGAAGTAAAATAAAGAACTAATGAGATTAAAAACTATAAAAGTATGCCGAAAACTATTTCAATAGAATTGATAAAGTGTATAAGTATAGTTTTATTTAAACTATTTCTAAGTTGTTATATTTTAGTACAGTATTTATAAATCACAGTAACAAGCCGACATAAAATCACAAACAACAAATAAAATAAAGCCCGTACATATTATGTTATCTTAAAAAACAGTACATTTGCATTCTACGGACGCAGCGGAATTATCTGAGGGAGACTTGCAACCTGCCGGGAACAGATAGCCGATTCGAGGCGACTAAGAAAAATTGCCTTTATCCTCACTTGGCACGTGCCGCAACCGACTCTTTGCCGATGCTATCGAGACCACGAATAGAGGTATTTATCAATGTTGCCACCAAACTAAGTTAACTTCCGCCTTTCTTTAAGACCGTTCTCAATTGTTACTCCTGAAAATATACTGTTCAAGTTATATAAAAAAGTACCTGTTATCATAGAACGTAAATCTATAACGGGAGACCTAGTGTCGAAAATAATCAACAAAAAACTGGTAAAGGCTTATTTTTATTTCTAATTTGATGGAAATTATTATTATAAATTAATAAAACCTTTTCCTTAACATAATTATTAATATTCCAATAGACACATAATTACTAAAGACCAAAATGAATATTTATTTATGCATGTGGATTGAGAATGCGCATTCTGCATTTTTTATCATAAATAAAAGTCGAGTTGGAAAAGAAACTTTAAAAACTATTTTCCCTAGCGAGCGTAGCGAGATAACCTGCGTCTAATTTCTCATTTCTGTTGGAATACCAACGACATTGAACTTATAACAGCAAGCAGAAAAGCAAGTTAACTCGCTTGAGGAGTAACTTAACTCTCTACTGTATTTATTAATATGTTAATTGGGCTTTATTGTAATAACATTTATTGTATAAAAAGAAAACAAATAGAGCCACACATTTTTAATCGTTTTTATAACATTATAAAAATCATATCCATGAAGATTATCTGTGCATCGAAGGCAGTGTCAGCTTTCACTTCGGTTGCATCATAAACCATGTTCTTTGGAGTCGTATTAACATTTCGACAATAGACGAAATTTCGTTTTAAGAGAAAAAGAATATGTCTTCTGATGTCATGTTAATTCGTACGTATAATAACTAACACAGCATGTGGAATGAAAAATTGTAAAATGAATAGTTGTTTTCGACATAATATTCAAAGCAGAAACAATGTACTATCCAACGACACAATATCTTGGTAAAGTTCATTAACATGCCAAGCGGAGCCACATGCTTCAATTAGCAATACAATGGCCGTCGTATTGTTCGTTGGAAAGTTGCAAGCTATAGATTCGAGCGATATTATGGAAATAAATTTATTAAACCTAATTGGTAGGCGAACTCAATGCAAAATATAACTTCAGTCGATAAACTTTAAAGCAAGTGTAAAAAGTATACCAATTTTATTATTGTTTAGCCTTGTGGTGTCCATTTATTTCACTTTTATTTTATTAGTCACATTTTGTGAGACAAAGTGTTATGGAACTTAAAGACTTATAATTTAATGAAATCATTATGAAATGTGGATCGTAAGCAAAACGAAGAAGTGTTCCGTGAATTTAATTACAGTTTCCGTGTGGTCATTTTCCGTTCCTATATCTTTATTATTGATTGGATAAATTTTCGGAGCGGCTCTTTTCCGTCACTGCGGTGTTGAATTTTATTTTTCTCAGATCACCCAAACCAAATCTATCGATACAATCAATCTATCGATACAACTTACCTCGGGTACGAGTTAAAACTTGTTTCTACAGACATGTTAAGGGCCAACTAACGCTCAAAAATATGGCCTGACATCATTTCAATAATAGAAAACAAGTAGTCAATTACAAGCATCGGAAACGCAATTTTCGGCATAACAAAAACATATTGGCGTCTCAGTTTTTCAATTTAATATTTAGTTTTTGTACTCCTGCACTAAAAAGTGAAATAGGGTAAATATTTTTATATTCATTCTAATAATTTTTTCAAATACGGTTAAATTACGAGGTATATTTTAAAGAAAGCTTGTATTTAATCTGTTTTAAATGATAGTTTTTTATTAAAGGTTAAAGGACGCCCAAAAAAGTACGCTCCAATATCCATCCAATCCATTATAAATAAAATATTAATTATATAAAATATGACACGACGTATTAATCGACTGATGAAATATTTTTTTTCTTTTTGTTGTTAATATATAAATAGTTTATAAATTCAATGTAGTTGTTTTTCAATTCTACCTCTGTGTATATGAGGAGAGAAATAGCAGCCTTTACTGATTTTCCCGCAGTTTCTTCTCAGCATCAGTAGCCCAATTCACCTAACAAAAGTAGTAACGATATCGTTTCGATTTAGTCGTTGAATCCATTTTCCAATTCACGTCTATGAATAAAGCTGATTTTAAGGTAGGTCTATCGAAGTATCGTCGAAACGTATTCACCTAATCAATTGTGTCTAAATCATATTAATATATATTTCTTTCCTATCTCAGGGGGAGGAACTTCCGGGTCCATCTAGAAGTTCGCCGGTCTCCTCCCCTTTCCTTCCGCGCCTCCCCTGCTTCTCAGGGGTTGGTACGATCCCCCCTCACAAGGGGGATCTAAAGCACTATTTTCTGGACCCTATACCAAAATCAAGTTAGGTTAAGGAAAAAAAAAAAAAATCAATTGTGTCAAAGTGTAAGAGCAATTCTACTAAACAAATGACATTTCTTTTGTTCGGATGCAGATCGACCAAACGTCAAATTATACGATTTATGCGCGGTTGAACAAAAGTTCATTATTTGGTATTGTTGACATAGTAAAACATAGAAAGAAATAAACAATATGAGCCTTGGTTTTTTTTTTGTTGGATATCTATTTATTCCGTTGGTCATAAATGAGTCGCGAAGTAGAAATAAAAAAGCTTTCAATTTTCTTTAGAATCGACTTCTGCCTTAAAAAAATTAGAAATACTATTAATCTTAAAGCTACTTGATTATTCACGAAATTGCTAAATTTTGTAATTAAATATTTTGAAGTCGGTTTAAAAGGGACGCTTTTGAAATACCTGAAAAGGACATAAAAACATTTAGGCTCACCCTTTAATTAATACAATAAGGGAAGATACGGCATGCTCATAGTTGCATAAACCAAAAAAAAAGGCACTGATAAAAATTACTTATCTAAAGTCACTCACACACTTATACTCCGAGCAAGCAAGATACAACTATGTGTTCCAACTATAGCGTGAGCGAGACTAGAACTCGCGTTATCGGTAACGTGTCAATCGGGCGAGTAAGATAGCAATGAATTTCAATATTAACATGAGCGAAACAGAAACTTATGATCGTTACACATATGCGATCCATTCTCTCACTCGCACATACATGTGGTATATACACTTATCCTTTCTTTAAAATGGCGAGATACCTAGTAAACAATTAATTTTGTAATAAAAATGTGTTTTAATATATCTACGGGGGAAATGTGATGCCATAAAAATTTGTTTTTTAACTGTTCGATAGTTTGTAAAAGAACTTCCAGGAATATCTTCAAACTTTTTCCCACATTGTGTGCATGCACCTTATTCGTAGTTCTTATTAACAAAACGCCTAATCCGCATCTCCCATTTTAATTTTAATCAAAAGGCTCACCAAGGAGTTAGAGCAAACTACAAAACACGTCTTCATATAATCTGTTGTTCTAACTCATTGATGACCTCATTCCAATAATAGGTGAAAAATAAAAACCTAGAATTAGGTTTGTCTGTACTCTCCATAAAATATTTAAAAAAATTAATTTGTCACAATGAAACCGACTTGATATCGCTTATTTTTTATAAAAACTACAAATAATTATTAACAGGTGCGTTAATTACATAGTAAATTTTCACATAAATAAAATACATATTAAAATTCTCTTTAACTAAAACTTTATTAGAATGTTAGCGTTTATATAGAAACT